CTTGTAAAAATTCATTATAAATCAATTTTTTTCTTAAAACAGTAGTGTCGTTAATATCTTATTTATAAAAGCAAGTAAAAGTTTTTTTTAATTAAATAATGTCATAGTTTTATTGTAGTTTTTATTTTACTATTCGGAGCAGATTTTCGGTAAAAAAAAACAAAAAAACAAACAAAATGATTTAAATTCGCCAAGGTGTACTGTTTTTAACTAATATATATATGAAGCGAAAATTAATAAAATGAAGTCAAAAATATTTTACCAAGATTTTCTAAAAACAATTTGAAAATAATTCCATTCATTTGTAAATGATTTCTGAAAATTTCTTTAAAATCCGACAGTTATTTGATTTTTCCAAGGATTTTTCAAAACAATGTGTTTTTACCGTAAAAAAAGCCGTTAAAGTCCCCATTGTAATCTTTGACCCAGTCGTCGACGAAAAAAAACTCAAGAAAAATTTCGAACATGCTAGAAAGGATTAAAATATTTAATAAAATAATCAAAAAATACTCTGGTCTTTCTTCTTAATAATATTATAAACATTTTGACGATAAAGCTTTGTTTTCATCAAATTTCGGGCCATTTTTCATCAATGTATGCTGTCTTTTAGTGAAAACGTGAAGCTACCTAATTTTATTTGTCGTATCAGCAGCATTATTACTTTAAGCTTTTTTTTTTTTAATTATTAATTTTCATTAATATATTAAAACCAACGTCTCATCGTGCCTAGAAAACGTATATATACGTCGACAGCAGGCAACCTAATTTTCATGTGGATCGGTTAATGGACACTGAGATAGAAAAAATGGCTTGTGAAATTCTTTATTTCTAACAGCGCTTAATTCACCAAGTTAAACAACCAATCAGAATTTCTATTAGATTCTTGCTTCTATAAAAAAGCAAAACATGTTTACACATGTCTATAAAATCTTCATATTTTCAAAGCGAAGAATGTAACACTGTTCATTTTTTCCGTCTGATGAACGATAAAAATTTTAATTTATTCCATTACCCAAGCATATTGTGCGCCTCCATTAAGGACGGTCTATTTTTAACAGTTGGGATCAGGTTGAGCATTTTTGGATTCGGGCTTTTAAATTCAGGAAGTGGCCGGAAGCCTGACGCCAATGTTGCTTGACTAACAAGACGTGTGATTGTTATTTTCGCCGGAATGCTTTTCTGAAAAGACAAGGATGGGACGATGGCGGCTTTCGAAATGAAGAAGACAGACGCATAGAGGGGAAAAATTAAAAGAAAGATAAGAATGAGTTTCATATTTCCCACAGAGCTCCGTGTTTGATCCCAAGCAAGAATACCAGTATAAAGAATGTTGATTATCCAGATTGAACCAATTAAAAGATTGACTGAACAAAATATTCTTCATTTTTCAGAGGTTTAACCGTTATCTTTCCAACATAACCTCATAAACTGAATTTCTAAATGCCTCCTCTTACAACAACCTCATTCACTAATACTCTACCTTGAATGGCTGTTGGGACTTGTATGGGATGAATATTTTCCCTTAAATGCCATGCATGATACACGCTTAGGCGATCATGTATTTTTCGATACATTGACGAGGCAGATTTTTTCCCGCAGTAGATTGCCATTTCTTTCTTCAGTAGACCAATTGTCATCCAAGGCTATAGAACCCGTTCTATCCTGCTATTTGCCCATATGTGGTAGTGGGTGGGGGAGGAAGAAGAGGATTCATACCTTTCAAAACTGTATTATCACGTAAGTGAATGTAACGGATTCGATTGGAATTCAAACTCGACTCTCCAATTCCTCAATCCAAGCCGCTATCCATTGCTCCACCAATGAACATTAGTAAAAATAGATAAAATAACCGATTGACTGGTTTGCTTAATGACTGAAATAAGAACTTCCCACTGGTGTTGGAGGTCAGAGTTCGAACCTAGGAATAAAAGCCCCGATTTCGAACTCTAGTTTACTCGGCATATAGATTCTTGGTAGAATGGCATAATACACTCTTCGTTTCTGAATTTAATTACCAATTATTAATTTGTTCATGTGTTATGAATAGTGTACATGAATAAGGTTGTATAATGTTTAGAAGATAAGAACAGTCTTCTTTTTCTACTATGTGTTATGAACTTTCAGTATGTGGGCGATCACGGCTCTCTACAATTTCTTGTCCTTTGTAGCACTTTATGCGTTATTTTCCTCTGTCCCTCTTGCCTTCAATGTCTTGTGAGTATCAGATTTTTCAAGCCCTCTTTCCTCATTATGTTTCCAAGAAAATCAGCTGTCTCTTTCTGATGTTAAGTATAAGTGTCCTTTTTGTCTCCATTTTCTCTAGAACTTCGTTGTTGCTCACATGTTCTGTCCATGACATTCTCAGCATCCTGCTGTAGTCTCCTTTTCTTCTGTGAGTGGGTGTCGAATATTCACTGAAATATAGGAGAACTAATATTACGTAACAGTTCAGTAATTTTTCTGTTTTTAACGAAAGTTTCCTGTTTCTTAATACTTTGCTTATGTTTTGGAAGGCATTTTTCGCTATCCCAATGTGTCTTCGGATTACAGTGTCGCACTTTCCGTCCTCTATTAAAACAATTCCCAAATGTTTAAATTGTTATACCTGTGTGATTTTGGTGTTTCCAATTTATAATTTGCATGTTGGGCTGTTCCTTTTGCTTAACAATTATGCATGTTGTCTCCTTGCAATTTCTGTTCAATCCTTTCTTACCGTTTTTCTTCATCAGTTTCTGTAGTTCTTGTAGTCTCCTTTCTGTGTCTACTATCAACGTTTTGGCTCATTTTGTATTTTAAAAAATCATACATAAGGATGATTCTGACAAAGACTCCGAAGCTTTATAAATGGTGAACATCAGAAATTAGAGTTGCGTGTTTTCAGACACGGACGTAGTACAGAACACATCACGTGGTTTCAGGAAACATTTTTTTACGTAATCAGGTGTTTGATAAAATAAAACTAATATTTATCAATAATCTTTTGGAGCTGCCAATTCTTACTCAAAGGGGTCACAGGTTCCACCTGTTACTGACTTCGTACCGTTCGTAACCAAGATGACTCCAGAATATTTTACATCCTTACTTTAATGCGACTGAAATTTATAATTATTTTCCTCACGCATACACCCTTGTGAAATTAATTGAAACAAAACAAATAATTCCGTTATTATTTACTTTCTTTCTTCGTATTTTTCCAATGAAACATGACCCAATGCACATGTTAGTACTTCCTATGTCCATTCCACGACATCTTTTCTTGCAGATTAACCACAGTTTCTCGATCAGATTTAAATAAGGAGAGTTTCAGAGCCAGTCGATAGTACTTAGATTTTCTCACTGGTAAGGCTTGCCATTGTGTTCGTGTAGCATTACAATTTTCGCACGCTTCCTTGGAGTAATGTCCATTGCAGACAATGGCTGCAGTACAACTAATCAACAGTCGAGACAATAGTGTCTGGGCGTGATAAAAATCTGATGCATTTACGGATAACGCAATATTTTTCAAAGCCAAACAAATTTCATCATACACCCTGAAAATAGACTCATATTAGCGCACAACACTGCAAATGACATAATCTGGGGAATGAATAGAAATCGATTACACCCTGTCACTCCAGTGGGTTTAAAACTGACCGTATGGGGAAAAAAAGAAACTAAATCGGTTGTTTCAATTAATTTGCACAATTCACACATTATGAATTAATAATTCTCATTCCATATTCAACATACACACGGCAATCACCTAAACCTGATTTGTAAAAAGTGTAAAGCTCTTTTTTGCCTGATGATGAGTCAACATGTTTCTTTTCTAGCAGTTTCGTTTCATATGAAATTTTTCTAAATATTTACTGGTTATTTCTTTTAAGATTGGCGACAAAATGGCTGTCATATATCATTTATACAATGCCACATATTAAGCCAGACTGGCACTTCAAACGACCACGGTAACGGTAAGACCCGTTTTCCTAACAGTGAACATATAGCCATATATTGACCGAATAGACGGTCCTATTGAACATCTTAAAATCTTCTATTAAAATAGAAAGTATGTTTATGGAGTCGGCTAACAGTTATCGCTCCTTCTAGTATAGATGGAGGTTTCTTTCTTAACCTTCGAAGTTAGTGTGAAATGTCAGCATTTTGCTTATCTCATTACTTTCTCTTTGAGTTGGTTGTGATATCTAGTTCAGTTGCTGTTGGATTTCAAGTGTTGTGGTATTTGTTACCTGGTACACTTCTTTGTGATTGTGTAGCTCCAATCCACGAGGTTCGAAGAAGGCCGTTCCTCGCCAAGACCGAAAATGGGTTGGCAGGAATCTTCCGAAAGCAACAAATTCAACAGAACAAATGAATACAGTAATCTTTTTTGTAATCAGTAGATACGGATTGTTACAATCTTTATCAAATTCTCTATTATCATTATATTTAGGGAGGTGCATTTTATAATTTGCATATCTCTCCTACTTACTTTACCTTTCTCTCTCCCTCACTTTCTCACTCTCTGTTGTGACCTTGTTAGGGCCAAAAATAAAGACACAAAGAGAGGAATTGAGTTAAACAAATATATTAATAGAAACAGCAAAACAAACATATACAAACAAGAGTGTTACAGCAAGAAAGTTCGGTCCGACTTCAGAGCTGACTACTGGAAACTTCATTTTCCAAAAGGCAGTACCTGCTCCTATTTATAGCTGGGAGAATTCATGCGTGCGTGGGTAAATTACCCTAACACACACACACACACACGCACACACACACACACACACACACACACACACACACTCTCTCTCTCTCCTTTTCCATCTATCTATCTATCTATCTATCTATCTATCTATCTATCTATCTATCTACTACTCTCCCACCCTTTCTTTCTCTTTCCCTTTCGATATGATTATCGACTCGGAAAGAGGAATCAGCGTATTTGACCGAGACAGTTCCATTCACTTTGCAGTAATAGCCTTGGAACAGGTATTAACCCATTTCCCTCCAGCTACAGGGGTTTACGGTCATATCAAGTTGAAACACCGGTTCCCGTACGATCACCGAAGTTAAGCAACGCCGAGCCTGGTCAGTAGCTACATAGGTAACCAATTAGGAATACCAGATTGTGTAAGCTTCAGTATGCGGCTGGTGTAATGGATAACGGTTCGGAAGTCGGAGAGCGGAGTTCCAATTCCAGTCGGGTTCATTATATTCACTTACGCACAAATAACTTTATTAAAGGTATGAATCCACCTAATCTCTCTCCAGCTATGGGTTAATTAAAACATGTATCAGTAAATTACTGTAATATCCAAAATTCATACTATATAAAAAATATTTTCTGGCTCCAAATAATCTGCAATACGTTGGTAAATCGTATAAAAACAAATCAATCAATCAATCCAGGTATAGGTTAAATAAGACAGACTGCTTTTTTGGCTGGCAATCATTCTTGGAGAAGAAAAGACATTTCCAAATTTGATTGGGCTCTCTAGACATTTTAGGGTAACCAATCTAGAACAACAACTCTGAACATAAAACGAAACTGAAAAGAGATAGATTCCATCAGACTCTCTTGCTTTAAACATACCCCCATTGCTGCAAGGAACTGTGGTGCCTCAACGACCCTCTGATGTGTTACATGATTCACGGTCGTGATCTTGATGTAGATATGCGTGTGGCTGCTTGGGGGAATACTCAGATGCATTTTTTCTGTTTATATACGCGGAAGTATAAATGCAAATTTGTTATAATAATTCTAGATTTCTGTCTACACGATGTTATTATTATGGAAGTCAATGTATTCATGAGAAACTTGGTATGAAGCAACTGAATCTGGTAACGATTTCGGAATCTACTTATATTTACATAAACAATATTGCAAGTGTTTCACTTTATAATATCTACCCTATTAAAATATTGATTATAACTTGTTTTTGTAGATGTCAGGTTTTATTAACTAAACAAAGTCTTAACGTAAATTAGGATTTAAAAATCATTCTAATATATATATATATATATATATATATATATATATATATATATATATATATATATATATATATATATATATATTATATATATATATATATATATATATATATATATATATATAGGTCACAATAACTGTTGTAACCTAGGGAAGGTTACTGAATAGAATAATCACACGAAATTTGGTAATGAACGATAATACAGAGGACAAGAACAACACATATAAGATTCACCAGCGGCGCGGAGAACAAGTAGTCAACTGCTAGAAGTAAGTCAAATGAATTCCACTATGAATCTCTAACTGGAGGATATCTACCAACCGCCCCACGCGGTCAGATGTGACACAAGGCCAAATATAATGTGGGGCAACCGAGTACGGAGGCTCGGCCAAAAATTCTCCGTAGACCCCGTATAAAACGGGATCAGGTAGCTGTTTCCCGAGACGAAACTCTTCCCTTCGACATAGCATGGTCTGGGGATCCTCTCTGTCCGGAGGCAGAGAGTTTGACCAGTATTGCAGACCAACATAATACAGTATTTACTACTGTATTTATGTGAATGGAAACATACCCATTATCGTCTGTAGGTATGTTACAAGAAAAGCCAAGTGGAGGAAAAAAACTGGCTTGTATCTTTCAATACCTGCAAAAACAACCTCGTTTCATTAACACCGATGTGATTTACTCCAGTCCTGATGAAGGGTTGTGGTCTCAATGAAGCTGTTTGATTTGAACGTCGGTTGGAGCTCAAGATCGTCTCAAACCTCAAGTGGAACCATAATCCATTTTTAAAGCGGCTGAAAAAATGGTCAGTTCCTTGTACCGCTTCAGAAAGTACTGCCCTCCTACTGAAATGGTCTGTCTTTACAAGAATCAGATCGGACCAAAAATTCAGTATTGGGCTGGATCTGCTTAATATTAAATTTCCAACACTGAGATACTTCAAAAGTATCGATGTGGCCTTATAAGTGATGAATTATTTTCCTACCTACAATCAATTTTCCACTCAATTCTATCCTTGTTTCCTGAAAATCTTCCTATACCAATTTTTGATATCAATTTTATTGTAACAACATTGTTTTGAATCATAAAATCTAAAATAGTATTGTAATTATAGGGTGGGATCAATTTATTACATAGTAACAAAAGAAAACCGATACCCCACTTTACATCCATTAAAAACTTATATGAATATTTACCATAAATATACCATTCTGGGTATGACGATAAACTACATCTGCTTCTTGGGTAAGACGATAAACTACATCTGACAGCAAGATCTCTGATCAGGAGGTTTTGAGGAACTTGGAACAACCTATTAATTGCTGGTGTTCCCAGATTCAAACTGACCTGGGTTCGAAGCACCTGTTAGGATCCCAGCTATGGGCAAATAGTTAACCTCCAAACTGGTGGTACTATGAAAGTGTAAAAATAGGTTTTAATATCAGCAATACATTTTTGTAAAAATCATTACCAGCAATGAATTTTTGTAAGAAAATTTTTTTACCAACAATATATTTTTGAACAAAAATATTACCAGCAATATATTTTTGAAAAAAAAAATTACCAGCAATAAAAATTTCTCGGCATTAAATATCCCATTGAGGTGTTAATATGCCGTAAAACAAAACAAAGCAAATCAGCAATAAAAATCTTGTCGGCATTAAATAGCCCATTGAGGTGTTGATATGCCGTAAAATAAACCAAACTATAAATATATCATGAAAATCTTTCCATCATCAGTTGGCTAATAACGGGCAAGGAACTTAATAATCGGGAGAGGTCACAATCCTTCCCAGAATGCAATAAACAATTTTATTGTTTAAAATTCGGACTTATGAAGGGTTCATATTAAAAAAAGGTACTCCTGTGTATGAAGCATATTAAAATAGTGGAAGTCTTTTTATTTCTATCAAGAAAGTGAAAGTCCCTCACAAAACTATTTTTTTATATTATCGTTCGCCCAATACATGGTCCACCAATCACTCAGAGTAGAGGGTTATTGAACTGGAATTGATTTAAGGACGTAAAAGAAGGAGGAGGAAAAGTTAAGAAGTGCAGATGACGAGGATAGGTTGGATAGATAACGTTTGACCCATGACTTGAAGAGGTTAAGATTGTAAAGATCCTGGAAGTATCTTCTTAGTGGTCTGTTCTACAAAGCAGCGGTTCTCCGAATGAAATTTCCTTTTTGCCAACGGAAAACGAAAGGAATGAGGATGGTTCAACCCGATGTACGTGGCATAACGGGGTCATAGGTCGAAAGGTCGGAAAAAGCGAATTTACACCGTCAGAGCATTTTCCATGCAAATAGAGATAGAAAAGCAAGAGGAAGGCCACGTTTCGTTTGGGGAAGGGGTTTTAGGTTGGAAAATAATTCATCACCCACAAGGATGCATAAACGATTTTGAAATCTATCAAAGTTGGAATGTGACGATTTAGCATATGAAATTCCACTTGAGGTCTGGCGTGAACTTGAGTCTCAAGAGACGTTCGATATTATCTTCGGAATTTTAGTCTCGTTTTACTCTCGTGTTAGTTTCGTTTTAGTGTTTGTTATTTTCTTAGTCTTTTTATATCACAGTTGCACAGTAATGAATGGCCGAGTTAGGACTGAACCCGCTTACTTAAGGCTTGTTGGTTAACCATTTCTCTACGGCAAGCGCCTCGATTTTATTATTTCAAAAGATATTAAAGACATGATACTTTGAAAAAAAGGCTGTAAACGATTTCCCAACAAAGACATAATTGTCATTATATTCTTGGTTATCTCGACAAATACAATTAATATAGCCGTAGAGAACTGAAAAGAAGGATTTGCTCTATACATAACATATTTTAATGCCCTAACCCTGTAAAGACCAGCATGCTAAAGCTTTCATCTTGGGTTACGATACAGGACACGGCTAGGATGAATTTAATTCTACTCGTTTAATCACTCTATGTATAGAAACATTGTTTGACTGACCGAATTTCAAGAGAGCCTCACCCTGCTATCTCACGGGTAGAGCGGAGAATTTACGAAGTACGCATGTGGGTGTCTGTCGAAAGTCTATCTGAGAATGGCATCAACTGGTCACGCTTCGCTTACACAAGGCATGGAATAATATTATATTTTGTTCAATTGACCTTTGATGCGTTGGAAAACGTGTTAGAAATGAAAACACTGTAATGTACTTGGTCTTTTGTTGATGACGTCATCATTTATATGACGAAGATGGTCGAAGTGAACAGAGTTGTTCTTTTCCAGTTTGAGAAATATTTCTCGAAGTCTGATACGTGGCCACAAATATGGAGTAAAAATAAACATTGCTACACTTGTAATGGTCTACAAATTGCCCTTAAGAATTTATTAAGTTTTCTTTAGTCTGCACAAGCTTATAAGTTAGGAACATCTGGTAACGATTAAAATCATACTATTGTCGCACTTATCTGGTTCAATTAACCAACAACACGATGTCACTCGAAAACGAAATTATGGTTAATAATCTAAAACTGGTAGATATTAAGAAATTAGTGGATTTTTCTCGCTGGTGTTTGAAGGTGCGTTCGAGAGTAACGTATGTTCATTTTGCAATATTTAGGATAAGGCATGAACCCATTTCCCTGATTTATATCCAATCGCCTGATAGACAATCAAAACCTAATCACTCACTGGAACGCCGCTATAGTTGACAGAGATAATAATGTATGAGTGACGTGTGTAGCAATACAAGAAGATAAAAATGTTAACATTTTTGGGATAATACCTTTATCAGACAATCAGAAATAATATTGTGATTTCAAACAATCGCCACTTGTTCATTATCCCTGTCGACATTTTTAAGATTAAAAAAAAACAGCGTAGGAACAACAATGGAGCTCTGGGGGGGGGATGTAGAAGAGTGGTCATTCAGGACAATTTTCATTTCGCGATTTTATAGTGTTGTGGACCCAGAATAGATCCGAAAGAAAACTCGAACTCAGCAATTTAGTGAAAACATTATTAAACAAAAAGAACGAATACAAAAGTGTTGCACGTCCGACTGACGGCAAAGTACAGTAGTCAACTCGTCAAAATATTTAACGATCCCCCAACGAGGAATGTATATAGCACAAGGCCGAGTTTAATGTGGGTTTCTCCGAGCCCGTAGGCTCGGTCAAAAATATACCCTTTGAACCCACCTAGACGGGTTCAGGGTCTGTCTACCTCCCCGGACGAAACTTTGCCCTTCGGCAAAGCTTCGTCTGGGTGCCAAAGCAGAGAGTTCGAGTTCGACAGAAGTCGTACACATAGTCAACTGTTGGTCAACTCGTCAACAATATTTAACAATCCCCCACGAGGAATGTATGTGGCACAAGGCCGGGTTTAATGTGGATTTCTCCGAGCCCGTAGATATACCCTTTGAACCCGCCTAGACGGGTTCAGGGCCGTACACGTAGTCAACTGTAGTCAACTCGTCAACTTTAGACAGCTACATTGAGAGGTATAATCTCCCCGTATATATAATAATAGGACGAGTCCATTTAGTCCATAATGGTAGGTCCCATAACATATAGGAACAACTGAATCAGCTGAAAGACGTGCCCAGAGTTACGGTAGCTTTTCACCTTGTCGAGAAGACCCGAATGCCATACCCTGTCAAAAGCTTTCAAGATGTCCAATTCTACATCCGGAGGTTCACCGTTTTTATCTAGAGCATGGTAGACTCTCTCCGAAATTATCGTTAATATATCATCAGTTGATATGGAGAAAGATTAGTCAGCGACCTCGAGAAACAATTCTCTGGACATCGACAGATTATCCCGGATGTAAATACCAAGGCAATGCGTGTGAAAGCTGAAATCTTTTTGGCAAAGGAGCCACAAAGTCAAGAGTAGAGTTACTGGCAAAGCATTTATCTTTATCAACAGAGGATGATAGCACCTCAAATCGATTGTAGGCGTGGGGGGATAGATACCATGCCTTATTACAGGTAAGTTTTTAGAGACCATGCGGTGCCTCATTCTCTCAGGAAACAGGTACTTAGCTTCTTTGAGAACTCGCTTACCTTTGTTACAAATAGGCAGCTGATATGACGAGTGCTGTCACGCTGGTATAGACGGAAATAGTGGTTCTTGTGTGCTATGGTGGCCAATCATGCTGGGGAGAACTATGGAGAGGTTAGTGGTTTCACCTGGTATTTCCAAGAAAGGATTCAAACGTCCATACTGGCTTTGACCCAAGAAGATGTCACTCTAACGGGGTCACGAAAAAAATCTCGGAATGTGTCCCAATAAACATGCTATACCAGAAAGAGGTCTTATGTTATCAAGGGGAGAGTATTGTGAAGCTTAGGAAGAGCAGGGAGAGGAGGTAAGAAATAGATCCAATAGAGAAGCATGTTGCTCGGTTTGGCAAAGGAAACAAGTAGGGAAGGCCACGATTTGAGTTAGGGATTGGGTAACGGAAACATTTAATGCCCGTATAACGGCAGCATCAGTACCGTTAGAATGTTTCAGCCATGTGTCGTTGTGAGCATTAAAGACACCAATGACAAAGATGTTCGAAGTTGAATGGAGAGAAAGTGTCTTTTCTTTACTTTCAGTTATTACGTCTAATATACTGCAGTCTTGGGAAGAGGGAGAGAGATAAAAAAAATAGATAGCTGACAGAGTTTAGTAGCGAAAGATGGAAGCAGATGAAATTTCTGGGGCACTTAATGAGGAAGGAGGGTTTGGAAAATCTGATACTCACAGGACAGATCAAGGGAAAGAGGGACAGAGAAAAGCAGCTAGTATCATAATTGAGTAAATGAATGGCGGAACAGAGTTTGGAAGAAGAAGCAAATGAACGAAAATAATTAAGAGCTACGGGGGCAGGAAGGTGTGGAGGACCATGATTACCTACGTTCTGAAGAGACATGGCACATAAAAGAAGAGATTTACGAAGCTTAAATTACTTTTACACAGGGACACAAGAGGGGGTCATTCCGAAGGTTTCAATTTAATCATCTAAGAGTCTATATTTTTCTAATCATATTTTTTAGCTACACACAAATAAACATACAAACGCGCACATACATACATGGACGCACAAAAATATATATAACTATATACACGAATTTCTTTCAATCTATTTTAGTCTGTTACTATCTATTTATCTCAGTCTGTTTCTATCACAGTCTGTTTCTATTTTATCTATGTCTATCTGTTGAATTTTATCTATGTCTATCTGTCTCTATCAGTGTATTCAAATCTATCTATCTATCTATCTATCTATCTATCTATCTATCTGTTACTATCTATCTATATATATATATATATATATATATATGTGTGTGTGTCTGTTCCTGTATCTATCTATCTATCTGTTACTATTAATCTCAATCTGTTTAATTTTATCTCAGTCTGTTCATATATCTATCTCAGTCTGTTCCTATCTATCTATCTATCTATCTATCTATCTATCTATCTTAGTCAGTTCAATTCTATCTATGTATATATCTATCCCAGTCTGTTCAATTCTATTTATCTCAGTCTGTTATCTATCTATCTATCTATCTATCTATCTATCTATCTATCTATCTATCTATCTATCTAGTTGTATGAATTAAATTTACGTCATTTGGAAGTCTAACATTTCATGTGAGTGGCAGCGAACCTAATTTTTATGTCCCCGGATTTAATGCTTATGTTTCGATTTTGTGTAACTCAATATGGAATCATGAGTGCAGGTGACTCCCAATGGAATAATTGCTTATTTCCGAATGAACTCTAACACCAGTAATGGTCTCCCGCGTTCTCTCTCTCTCTCACTCTGTAACTTTATAAACAGGTGGGTACACATGAATATCTATGTGTTACCGTGCGTCTGTAACTGTAAATAGGAGAGAGAATATATTGTTGATGAAATTCCCTTGATTTAAGCATTGGGACATAAATGATTTCGATCCTTAATCTTTCATGGACAAGATTCAACATTTTCAGAGTGTTGCCCAGACGCAATACGCATTACGCATTGCACTTGTTGGATTGCTATCAACCACAAAAATTAGAGGCGTCACAATTTTTGAAAATATTGTTCTCTTTCCGCTTTGACTTCAGAGCGACAACACGCGGAATCTAAGTACTTCAGAGACATCACCGGAAGATGTGTTAAATTATCGATAACTTCAGCGAAAAAGTTCAGTTCTTCACTTTCGTTTTGTTAACATATTTATTAAAAGTTTTCTTAATATGTTTATTAAACATATTTTATAAAATGGACAAAGTCCGACAATTATTTTAAGACGTTTTCATGTTTATACATTCTTTTTTATAAGTAAATACTCTGTTTATAATAAACAGTACTAACAACATTTAACGTCCTCATATTTTCTATGATAATTTCTCGGACATTCAGGCGGGTAAATGTTGTTAATACTGTTTATTATAAACAGAGCATTTACTTAAATATCTATAAAAAGAATGTATAAACATAAGAATGTCTTAAAATAAACATATTTTGTTAATATATGTATTAAACATATCCTCTTATATGTTAAATAAAAATAGTTTTGTTAATATCTTTATTAAACATGACTTTTTAATAGATTTATTAAACATGTCTTAATATGTTTGCTAAACATGTTTTGTTAATATCTTTATTAAACATTTTTTATATGTTTATTAAACAATGATTTGTTAATATGTTTATTAATTGTTTCATTTAAATTCCACGTCTTAGGTATATACTACCCTGTCTTACATAAATCGTTCAAACTACTGTTTGGCTTTCTTTTTTTTTTTACTTTAAGGTTCACTCTGTACAAAGCCGAGGGTACTCAAGGTAGATGGTCACGTTATGAGGCAGTTTCTACAAATGGTAGGGTTAGATAACGGTTAACCCTAGACTTTAACTGGTTGGTAGCGATCGGGAAACATCCTCTCAGAGGTCGGTTCCACAGAGCTGTCGTTCGTAGAAAGAAGCTGTTCGAGTGAAACTAACTTCTAACCGATGGAATACGGATGGAATGTGGGTGGATTTCTACAATGTGGCATGTCGGGTCCTAGTCGTGAAGTTTAGACCTGGCGGAACCAAAGAATGTAGTTCTTCCGAGCACTTTCTATTGTAGTACCGATAGCGCAGCGAAAGGCTTGTCACATTTCGCCTGTGAGAGAGAGAGGGGTCGGAGGGTGGAAAATAATTCGTCATCCAAAAGGAAGCTGAGACGCTTTTAAACTCTATCAAGAGGGTACATCTCGTCTGCCAAGCGGTCAAGGAAACATAACTCCGCCTTGGGTATTATACATCGTACCGGCGAGAGATCTAAGGTACCAAAATAAACTCATGTCGTCGTCGGCATCTGTCCATCTCAAGAGACGATGGAGTAGCGCAGTGCGCTACGAACCTGGGCGGGATATATGGAGAACTAGGGCTGCCCGGACGTCTAGTTCCCCCTCTCAGCCTTGCTAGCAGAGTCCAAAGGAGAGGATAAACCAAAACAGATTGGTAGCAGCGCGGCTGCAGGACTTGCCGAAAGTGCCGTCCATCCGCCTTAGGGGCTCCACTCCGGATTTGAATTCAGAGTTGTCCTTCTCCTAGACCAGTTGCCATCCAAGGCTGTAGAACCCAGTCTGTCCTGCTATTTACCGATAGCTAGAGGGAGAAGAAGAAGACCCATACCTTTCCCAATGGTATTAGCACGTAAGTGAATGTAATGGTTTCGACTGGAATTCGAAGGAGAATAAAAAAAATCGGCTCTCCGATTCCTCAATCCAAGCCGCTATTCATTACTCCACTGTGCCTCCTCTTCACTCATATACATGAGAATTAAAAGACCCATTGGGAGAAGTGGGAATAACGAAGGTTTCTCAGAAGTGGGTTTGCATCGCCTACCCCCATTTGATTTAAAGAAATAAAAGAAACATTTGCTCGACAAATAATACGACGAACCATTCTTTCCGTTCTGCAACAAAACGCTGCTTAGACCAGGGTTAAATTGAAATACTTATGTTTTATTTTGTAATGTCCGTTTGTAAGAGATACTTTGTAAATAACCGATACAACAATAGTAACGACTTCGAACAATATTCGGTCAAACGTCACTAATTCACATATATTTATATTTCCTTTAGGGCACCTCTCCGTGGTGTGACCGTTAGAAAGCTTGTCTCGCTAGATCAAGAGTGTGTAGTGAGTTCGATCCTCATTGGATGCACCATACTTTCGGCCTTGTGCCACATCTAAGCCGTGCATAGAAAATCATTATATATATTTTTTCTTTACCCGTCACGTGATCTAATACAAGATGAGGTCGACTGTGCTTGCTCTCTAGCGATCCTTGTTCAAACCCAAGTTTCGGCAGCGACCTTTCTTCCTGTATGACAGACAAATGCTAAGGGGAATAAACATTTTTTTTTATTCCCCTTCGTACATCCATGTAAGTCCTCTCATATTATAAAGGCGTGTGTCATATCTAATCTGTGAGGGTAACTAAATACTATATATGACACTATGTTCAGAGGTGGTAAACCAGTAAATTATTATTTGGTGTAGAAATTAGCATATATTCTGTGATCTTGTGCCACACAGTATGAAACCTAGTAAATAAGTAAAAGAGACTGCCTTAGAGCAATGGTTAGCTATGTAGTAAGGCTGACATTTTTTTTAATATAGTGATTTCGGTCAACACAGGTCTTGTAACGAATGTAAATTTGTTTGATAAGTAATTGGGGATGGCAAAATTATTTAAGTTATTATATTCTTTTCTATTCGGTTCAGCATACTCATCTCAGGTATTCTAATCACAACGACCTTCTTCACGTGTCTATCTTCATTCAAGACATAGACTAGAATTTTCTCGTCCCGCTTTATGCTACGAATATTTCAATGTTAACACTTACCAGGCTTTTCAAATTTAATTCTTGTTTGTTGTTATACCACTGTAACAAAATACGTGGCTTTTTAGCACAACCAGGTATTGAATTCAAAGGTTACGGTGAATCCAAATCAACGTATGTCTCTTGGATAGTCTAGTGTTAAATTTTTGGAACCATAAACCTAATATCTATATTAAGGTGTCCTGACTCAGACGGTAGAATTATTTTTAGTGTGCTTCCTTTCTTAATCAATGGCTCGCTGATAGTATTCATATCTATGCTGGGTCTACTGGGCAGATTGTAAGTTCTCAACATTAGCGCTGATTCGTTCAGTCGTTTTATCTTCCAGTGTTGTTTTCCGTCTATTATCGTGATTTCATTCTATCGGTATTTATGACGTAAAACATATCACATTAAAACAACGGTTCGCGTACGTTCATCGAAAAGGTCGATCCTAGTCAGTAACTTGATGTGTGACCACTTCGGAATATCAATGGATGTGCGGGTGGTATAATTGATAACATCTTGAAACTGGAAATCATAGAGCCGAGACTCAAAGTAAGGTTGAGTTTGTTAAATTCCCTTCTTATGAATCCACCTCTTTTCCCCCATCTACTGGGTCATTTAATCATTATTTTCTCTAGAAAATTCATTCAATTTAAAACTGTTTTTTGATGTAAGAAGACATGTTTAATAAACATATTAACAAAACATTTTTAATAAACTTATTAAGAAGACATGTTTAATAAACATATTAAGAAGACGTTTAATAAACATATTAACAAAACATTTTTAATAAACATATTAAGAAGACATGTTTAATAAACATATTAACAAAACATCTGACTTATTATTACAGGTTGTGTGTCTGTTCGTTTATATATGGGATCGGATTTCCTACATTTTTTAACCGATTTCAACAAAACTTCACAGGACTACGTAAAATTACTCGGCGATGGTTCTGACAGCGCCAAAATGGGAAAAAACACAATTGTTTTTGTACGAAATCAATTTGAAAGCACGGGTAAGTCTTGGACGATATTTTGCAGTCTTTTGACGATATTTTGTTACCGAGCCACCAAAACAAAGCAAATGGTCCAGTTTCTGATAGCACTAACTCTTGGCTGTTTAACAAGTACCAAATTGTTTGCAAGACTGTCAAAGCCGCTTGACCAGGGAACCATAAACGCGGGTACCAAGGGACAGGATTTAGACCTCTGAACACACATTCATTGGCACAGTATGTAGAGTTTTGGTTTGATTTAAATGAAATTTACGACACACTTGCGGCTTACTATCGCCTTTATGCGTGTCAAATTTCAGGCAAAAATCGTCGCGTTAGAAATGCCCGCTCCACTGCGTCTGCCAGAGCCTTAGAAAGCCCTGCACAGACCACTATTCGTCGCGTTAGAAATGCCCGCTCCACTGCATCTGCTAGAGCCCTAGAAAGCCCTGCACAAACCACTGTTCGTCGCGTTAGAAATGCCCGCTCTACTGCGTCTGCCAGGGCTGCAGAAAACTCTGAAGTACGCCATCAACGGCTCGAAAACATTAGTGAGAGGGGATGGATGCCTACTTTCAAAGTGCAAGACCAGGTTTACCACTTAATAGGACCACTTTTGGCTGATCAGGGAGAACCACCTCAGTTCCTACAAATTTACTTTCTCGCTGACTACAACGAGCAGGTTGATGCGTGTCTCGGCATTCTGCCTAGCGATATTTCCGTCGGTCCCCATAGAGACATTCTGTTCCGTCTACAAACATGCTTCACGAAACTAACAGTTACATCCGAAGCTTAAACAACTCTTCGCTCTCTTTCGGCGTTGTCATCGATGCAGACAACGGCCTCACGGTGAGCATGAGCGTCCTTCAATGCTCCTGCATGTAATGAAGTCGCCGCAGTCATCCACGGTAAGGAGCATAACAGCCGTGACATTGTCATAAGGTACCGGGGCGGTGGTCTGCGCCGCATCAGTGAAACCCACCGTTCATACGACTGTCTCCAGTACCCCCTTCTTTTTCCATACGGAAGCGATGTGTACCACTTCAAAATCTCAATATACCAGGCAAGCAGCGATTCCATGTCGACCGCAAAGACGGTCTCCTGTAGGGCTTACTACGCCTACATGTTTATGGTTAGGGAGGGTGAATTTAACCACTTGCACAGGTGCCGTCAACTATTTCTTAAATTCGCTGTTGACATGGCTGAAAAAATGGAGTCGGTGAGGTTAGGATTCATTAAGTTAAACCAATCCAAACTTAGAACCGACTCCTACATTCACCTTCGTGATGGTCTGCGTTCTGATGGTGACCCACGCAATCTTGGCAAACCGTGCATTCTGCCTTCCTCTTACACTGGTGGCCCTCAATACATGCATGAAATGACACAAGACGCAATGACCTATGTCATTACGGGAGGCCTGATTTGTTTGTCACGTTCTCGTGCAATCCGAAATGGGTTGAAATCACACGCAAACTTTTTCCAGGTCAGCAGTACTCACATCGCTCTGACCTAATAGTCCGCGTTTTCCGGTTACAGCTGTGTAAGCTTATGGATTTAATCCTTAATGGGCAAGTCTTCGGGCGTGTTAAGTGTTACATGTATACAGTGGAATGGCAGAAACGCGTTTTGCCTCATGCCCACATTCTGCTATGGCTCAACAATAAGGTTGACGCAAACAAAATAGATGATTTTATTTCTGCTGAAATTTCGGATCCTGCGCTGGATTCTTTGCTCCACGAAATCATTAAAAACAATATGATACACGGCCTCTGTGGCTCGAATTACGAAAAAAAGTCATGTTGGTCAAGCGGCCCTACTTACGCGAAGGGTTAGCCCCGTAAGTTTATCTCAGGAATGCACACTGCGACGGATGGTTACCCACTGTACAGACGTAGAAGCTCCGCTGAGGGTGGCAGAACTGTGACAGTTAAGGGGCACACTCTGGACAATCGTTGGGTGGTGCCTTATTGCCCGCTGCTGTCCAAGACTTTTGGAGCCCACATAAACGTTGAATACTGCCACTCGGTTAAGTCAATAAAGTACATCTGAAAGTACGTTAATAAAGGCAGCGATGTTACTGTTTTCGGTATCCGGCGCGACAATTGCGTTGACGAGGTGGCCGATTACGTGGTTGGACGCTACCTCAGCAGTAGCGAGGCCTTTTAAGAATTTTCGGATTCCCCATACACCAAAGGGCTCCAGCCATTGTGCAGCTTGCTGTTCACTTAGAAAATGGACAGAGGGTGTACTTCACCGAACAAAACGCCCAGCAGGTTGCGGAAAACCCTGAAGACACAACCCTAACGGCTTTCTTTAAATTATGCTCAACAGATGCTTTTACCCGTCCTACTACGTGTGGTCAAACAACCGGTTGGTTCGGTGAAAGGCTGGCGATCCTGTCGAGGGTTATCCCGATGTAAGGTCTAACTTTTGCCTTGGACGCGTTTATACTGTGCCCCCCAGCCAGCGGGAGTGCTTTTACCTCTGCCTTCTACTTCATGAAATTGCTGGGCCAACGAGTTACACAGATATTCGCACTGTCAACGGCATAGAGTGCCAGTCTTATAGAGAGCCATGCTTATGTTTGGGATTGCTTGAAGACGACTCCCAATGGGATGCAGCTATGGCGGGTGTGAACTTCTCAGAACGCCATCACGGCTTCGAACGCTGTTCGCCATTTTACTTTTGCGATGCGAACTAAGCGATTCTCTGTCGCTCTGGCTCAAGTAAAGAGAATCCATGTCAGAGGATGTTCTGTTCTCCGTTCAGCGTAACAGCCCAGGAGTTGAATGCGGTTTAACTGACTTCATATTCAACAGAGCGCTAGTGGCCGTAGAAAATGTTGTTTTTGAACTGGGAGGTGCTTCTTTACCAACTTACGGTTTACCACCACCGCCCAGAGACGGTTTTGACACTGTACCAACTGAGTTATTGCGGGAAACATCCTACTCCATCGAGGGGCTGAACGCATACATTACCGAAAACGATCCCAAGCTTCTACCTGATCAGAGGATTGCTTTCACTACGATAGCCTATATATATATATATATATATATATATATATATATATATATATATTAACCAATTAGTTAGTACAAAGTTCGGTCATAATTTTCTAAATTTAACTGACAAACATTTCCCGAAAAGCAATCCTTTTAGTAAAATTTTTAATAGGAAAATATTAAAACTTAGCTGTAGTTGTACTAATGATCTTGAAAAATAATAAAGTTGCACAACAATAAAATACTTAATCAATTTAACAATAACAATAATAACCATAATGCAAGTACAAATTTTAATGTGGTTAATGATAGTCACCAATGCAATTGTAGGAATTTTAACCAATGCCCATTGTAGAACAAATGCTACAAATCACTTGTGTATATGTGTTCTATTTCTTCAATAGAAAATTCGAAGATTGAAAAATTTTATATCACACTTTCAAAGATCGTTGGTATAAGCACCTATCTTCTTTTATTATCGCTACTTATAAAAATAGAACTTTACTTTCAAAATATTTTTGGAAGTTGAAAGAAGAAAATAAAACCCCTAAAGTTAAATGGAAAATTTTAAAACAATCCCTAAGTTGGGCAGTGCGTACTTGCACTCAGAGGAAACGGGAGATCAATAATTGGACAATACTAAATAAAAATAAGAACTAGAAGTAATCTAAACATTAGCAATCGAAGAAGAATAGTCTACCCTCGTAGATTAAATAAAGGGTTCAATTCAAAATTTCCTGAAGGTTACCCAGATCGATATACACCTGAGAAAGGCGCGGGGGCACAACGTTTGAAACACTGTGATAACAACAACAACGATGAGGACAATTGCACGAATAAAAATTTCGTAAATAATAACTCCCTATTACATAAATTCAGACAGAAGTTATCCTACATTTATGGAAGAAAGTGTACAATATCCGGAAGAGAACATACACCTTTGTGAAAATTAATTGAAATAACCGCTTTAGTATCCTTTCATTCACCATACGCAGTTTTAGACCAAATGGAATGACAGAGTGTAATCGATTTCTCTTTTTTTTCTCAGATTAGGTCATTTTGCAGGGTTGTGCAGTAATATGAATCTATTGTATGATGAAATTAATTTGGTCTTGAAAAATATTGCGTCATCCGTGATTACATCAGGTTTTCATCTCGCCCAGACACTATTGTCTCGACTGCCGATTAGTTGTCCTATGACCATTGTCTACGATGGACATTACTCCATGATAGCGTATGAAAATTCTAACGCTGCACTAACACACTAGTAAGCCTTACAGAGAGATCTCGGGCTGTACAACGAAAGAGAAGCTCGTGGCGGCATTATAGACGTGAAGTATCGTGACCCCCAAATCAATGAGGACTGCTCCAAATTAGTAGATTCTGTTCCGAACCACATGAAAGAGCTTCTAAAAAATAAAGGCGGACATACAAAATACAAGCGTGTGCAGTGGTTCATGTTTCGTTAGAAAAATACGATAAAAGTAAACAATAACGAAATTATTCGTTTTGTTTCACGTAATTTGCACAAGGGTGTAGTTACTCCCTCAAACTTATTTAAATCTGTTAGTAAGATTTACCAACTTTAAAGTAGTACAAAATCTCATACCGGATTGCATCAGATTTTTATCCCGCCCAAGCACTATTGTCTCGACTATCGATTAGTTGTCATACGGCTATTGTCTGCGATGGACTTTACTCCAGTGAAGCGTACGAAAATTGTAACGCTGCACGAACACAATGACAAGCCTTACCAGTGAGAAAATTCAAGTTCTGTCGACTGGCTCGGAAATTCTCCTGATTTAAATCCAATCGAGAATCTATGGTCAGTCTGCAAGAAAAGACTTCATGGAATGAATATACGAAGTACTAACATGTGCACTGGGTTATATTTCATCGGAAAAATATGAAAAAGTAAATTATAAAGATATTATTCGTTTTGTTTCAATTAATTTGCACAAGGGTGTATGTACATATAAGCACTGTGAAAATAAATATCAACACTGGATGGCGGGGTCTGCTTTTTGTTTTAATAAATAATGTTGTATCTCTAGTGGAAAAAACATGAATCTCACTAGAATTTCTTTTTGAAGGGCTGCTTGAACGAATCGAAATTTTTCAATTTTTCTTGTCCATGTTCAATACTCTACGAATGACAAACTAAAAGTAAATTTACGGAAAGATATCAACCGAACCATGGTGGGATATCAGTATTTTCTGTCGACAAGTTTGATTTTAGACTTTTGTACATATCTGTAGCCCTATGAGGGCAATGATTTGAAATGTAATTGTAACCGCAACTAGCAAACAAAAAAAAAATTTATTACTTTAAAATCCTATCGGTTAACATTTACACCCAGATTTCACACTTTAATTTTCTCTGTCAACAGGGAACACTTGTTTGTTTTGGTTGACTAATAGAATATCACACACATACTTACGTGCTTCCTCACAAACATCCATATACACACACTTACATACATTTCTGCCTCAGTATGGTTTCACTAATCGACTTACATAGAAATAAAATCAATTTAAAAGCACCTTATCCCCACCGCCTATATTCACATGGGAAGATTCATATATGTTTAGCTGTGCAATTTAATAATGTTTATAACCAACATAAACATTTATACGAATTAAGAATCCTAAAGCCTGCTAATCACAGAGAGAAAGAAAGTCTGTTTCTACACCAGATGAAAGTATATTGAATTCTCTTTCTTGAGTTTCGCTTACAGACAGACACACATAAAAAAAAATCATAAAACTGCTTAATTCTTCTAATAACGCGATTGTGGAGGGTTCCAATGTTCCATTAGTCCATCGGGTGCCGTGCTAAAGAATGTACCGTCATGCAATCTCTCAGAGAAATGGGCGTTACATGTCAGAGTTAATTTCCTCTTCAAATAACGCGCGATAACTTATATGGGGTTACTTGATATCAGCAGCAATAATCAGTTCAAGTCCTGACCCGTCTGACACGCAGCAAAACGATTCCTGTCCTGACTTATTCGTTACCCACAAGAATCGATCCCTGCCCTGACTGGTCTAACGAAAAACAAACGATCTCTGCCGATCGAAAAACAAACGATCTCTCGCCTGACGTAATATCTAACATACAAAAAAAGCATCTTTGCCCTAACTTAATGTCTAACACACAAAATGTAGTGCTGGGTATGACGGTAAACTACATTCGACACCAAGGCATCTGATCAGGAGGTTAGAGGTTTTGAGGAGCATGGAGGCATCTCTTGATTTTGTTCCCAGAGCCACGACACAGCGAATCAACCTTCCTAGCAGATGACATAGTAATGGACTCAATATCGTCTTCCCACTTCATGTCACCCAAGAAGGAGCATTCTCCTGAAGGTCAGCATCAGCCATGCTGATGAAAGGTACATAGGATTTTCTCAGATAATTAATAAATTAAGCCATTCTTTCCCCCAGTTAACAAAAGAGTGAAGGTCGTTTTGGATATCAGCTGCCATTTTGGCCTTATCAAACGGCTCAA